TTTCAAAAATATCAGGTCACTCCCTTAAAATGGCTCTAGACTATACCTTAGGAGTTACTGGTGTTTGTCCTAAGTGGGAATAAACTACTCAAATTGAGCATATATTCATCCCTATTTTCTCTCATCCAGTGTTAATGACCCATTTCATTTGGACAATGTTTAACAGTAGAATGGATTTTTAACTATGTAGAAGTCTGTAAAAAACAATTAGCATGTGAAACAAGATACAGTGAGTTTTCTGGAAGAAAAGATTAGAGCGAGTGATGTAATCTTTCTTTAGAATGTCTAAAATTAGGTTCATTTAACTCACAGATGGGAGTGCTAAAGACGATGAAAGTCCCATATGTTCCACACTATGAAGCTCTACAAAAAAGTTTTCTAAATCTTGTGAGTTAGTGGATCAAAAATATCTACTTTCCTAGTGGTATTTAAAACTAGAAACGATATCTTTTGATGACAGATTTCTTTCTTTTCTCTGAAAGTTCGGTACTTAGTTCAGGTCTAGTTTATCTGACATTCCTCAGTCTCACTAGGAAAAAGCTTTTAACTATTTTTCTACATCTTGTTAGTAACAGTTGTGCTTAATAGGATATCCTCTCCATCACTCACATTTTAATCTTAATGCTTCTTTTTTTCATACTTATAATTAAGTGTTATTGGGTGACATTGGTCAACATGACCACATGGGTTTCATGTGGGGATTTCTAAGTTACAAAATCTGTATATAGCCCCGGCCAATGTTGCTCAGTGGTTGAGCGCCGACCTATGAAACAGGGGTCACAATTCGATTCCCAGTCAGGGCACATGCCCGGGTTGTGGGCTTCATCCCCAGTATGGGGCATGCATGAGGCAGCTGATCTATATGATTCTTTCTCATCATTGATGTTTCTATCACTCTATCCTTCTCCCTTCTTCTCTGAAATTAATAAAAACATATTTTTTTAAAAAGAAAGAATGAAAGTCCTGCTTCCATACCTGTTTTAAAAAAAAATCTGTATATAGCACCATGTGCCTACCACCCAAAGTCAAATCTCTGAGCAGGCTTCCCCAAGTCCAGCTTCATAGGGAAAATACTTGTAAAGTGGCAAAAACTTTTGTTCCCAAAACCCTCAATATGTCTACCATTGATCTCAATATACAAATTCAGATGTATTGACCAGTCAGCAAATTCATGGTGAATGATGTCAGGAGTACAGCATGTCCTCAAATAACATCATTTCATTATAATGTCGGGAAGAAAAAACCTATTCCCTGCTGGTGCCACTGTCTGTGTGGAGTTCGCACGTCCTCCTCATATCGGTGTGGGTTTTCTTTGGATCGCCTGGTTTCCTCCCACATCCCAAATATGTGCACATGAGGTGAACGAGGGGGGGGTGTCTGCGTTGCCTCCTTCTGAGTGAGTGGGGTGTCTGGATGTGCCCTACATGCGCAGCCAGTCCGGGGGTGGTGCCAGGATAGGTTCTGGCCACTGAGACCCTGAACTGAAATAAGCAGGTTGGAAAACAATTATCTTACTTGTTTTTACTGATCTTTCTTAAATGTCTGTATAGTTCACATTTATTTCAAAGTTCAATATTAGAAGTGTTTGAGGGTGAGGGCATGAGCAGGGGGGAGGGGGGAAATGGGGGGGATAAGGACACATATGTAATACCTTAATCAATAAAGAAAATAAAATTTTTTAAAAAGGAGTGTTTGGGTCTTTATTTAGGGATTTGGAAACACTTTTTGTGACTAGAAATATGCCATAGGAACTTAACTCCTGTTTATACCAATTAGCCTATGGTAAATTGGTTTTCTTATACGTCATTTCCCTTAAAAGTTACAGTTTCCGAGAACCTATCAACGACATTGAGGCTTACTGTAAGAGGGTGATATTCTTTGATAACATATTTACTGCTGCATTCCTGATTTTCTCTGTGCACAACAGCTCATCCAAATGTCCCCAGAATAAAAAATTGTTTGGACATGTTCTTAGTCAAAGACATTACAGCCCCTAGACATAAAAAAATATAAAGTATGACTTGTTGAAATGAAAAACCATTAATTGTCCTAATATTCTGGGCAGGAGACTTGTTCATCCACACTTTGCTGGCTCATTAGCCCCCTCACCCCACCAGTACCCATTCTCTGCCTCTGTCCAAGGACCTTCCCTCTTCTTTCTGAATCCCCAGAGGCGGTCTTTACTGTGTTCCAGCTCCCTGACCAGCAAGCTCCATGCAAGTGCCAGAGCTGTGGCCTTGGCAGAGTAAAGAAGAGCTCTTTGTCTTTCATATCATGGAATAGGGTCGGGGGTCCCAAAGCAGTGTTGCTTAGGCCCCAACATCTTACAGAAGCGTCAGTGAAACCAGTCCTTGTATTTTTTAGACTCTCACCTCAATGAGTCCAGAATGGGGACCCAGTTAACCTTAGTGCTTCTGCTTCTCTAAACAGCTGTTCTTTGGTAAAATTGCTAGCTCATTATGCCCGCAGTGCACCCACCCCTTCAATCCTCTGACCACCTGGGTATGTCTGAATCCCAGAAATGGCAGGATCCAGGCTCAAGCTGAGGCAGGGTTCCCCATGACACACAAGCTATGTGCATGTTAGAGCCAGGCAGTGGGCCTGATCGAGAAGCCCCTGGAGTCCAGAGACAGCAAATTCCCTGGTGAGACAGTGGGGGAGTGACCTGAGAGTTGAGGAAAGGGCCCTGCTGTGAAGGAGCTCAGCAAGCTCTTAGGCTGCAGCTGTCTGACACCTTATCAGTGTCACCTGGAGCTTTGCTAAAGGACCAACTTAACACAAACCCTGCCAATACCTTCTGGCTGCTCTCAGAGTTGCAAAAATGAGCCTTTTCATCCTCAGTCAGGAGGGTGAGTCTTGCTAGGGACACTTTATGTATTCCATGCCCTTAGGAGAGGCCATAGCCCCTCTGCCAGGGCCACCTGCCAATCCACTTGTGCGAGTTAGAAAGAGGTGCCTCCTCCTCTTGGTGACTCCCGCTGGGGATGGACACACAGCTTGTACCACACATGCCCCCTCAAATTCTCCAGAGCAGACAGCTATTAGGGCAGCGGTTCTCAACCTGTGGGTCGTGACCCTTTTGGGGGTCAAACAACCCTTTTGCAGGGGTCGCCTAAGACCATCGGAAAACACATATATAATTACATATTGTTTTTGTGATTAATCACTATGCTTTAATTATGTTCAATTTGTAACAATGAAAATACATCCTGCATATCAGATATTTACATTACGATTCATAACAGTAGCAAAATTACAGTTATGAAGTAGCAACGAAAATAATTTTATGGTTGGGGGTCATCACAACATGAGGAACTGTATTAAAGGGTTGCGGCATTGGGAAGGTTGAGAACCACTGTATTAGGGGAAGAAGAACGGTGCATCAGAGCCATCATGATCTACCTTTGACATCCATATGCAGCCCAGAGAGAAGGAACGTGGCCGAGGTCACACGTGATAAGAGTAGAGCTCAGGTCTCCTGAAGCCCCGCTCCCATGATCATGTCCATGTGTAAGATGAAGCAGCTTCACCGCCCAATCACAGGAGCCAGGGCTTCCTTTCCCAGGGGGCAGAGCAGGCTGGAGGACTGACAAACTCAGACCCAGGGGTCCTCTCTCTCGCTCAGCATTCTTATAACACATGTCCTCTGCCTGAGGCAGGCAGGGTCGCAGTCCTGGGTGCTCATGAGGGGGTGATAAAAGAGAAGGACATAAATGGAGGCGGATGACTGAGTAACAATTTCTGCGTCCCCACCACACATGGTGAGCTGTAGTCCTGGTCTACCTAGAACAGTGGTTCTCAAACTCTGCTGTGCACGAGGGTAACAAACATAGTGTTGCCTTAGCCAGTTTGGCTCGGTGGGTAGAGCGTCGGCTTGTGGACTGAAGGGTCCTGGGTTCAGTTCTGGTCAAGGGCACATGCCTGGGTTCTGGGCTCGGTCCCCAGTCGGGAGAGTGCAGGAGGCAGCCGATCAGTGATTCTCTCTCATCATTGATATTTCTATCTCTCTCTCCCTTTCCCTTCCTCTCTGAAATCAATAAAAATATACTTGAAAGAAGAAAAAAAAAAGAGTGTTGGCCCTACCCTCAGAGTTTCTGACTCAGTGGATCAGAGGTGGGCCTGACAATTTGTGTATCTAACAAGTTCCAGGTTATGCTGCTGCTGCTGGTCTGGGAACCACACTTTGAAAACCAGAGGCCTAGAGAAACAGACAACCCATCCTTTCCTCCCTCGCCTTCTTCACTCGCTTCCTCCTCTCATCTGCTTTGTCCTTCTCTGCTTCCTCCTCCTCTCCCCGTCTTGGGTCTTCTTCCCACCTTCCAAAGCTAATGGAGTGAGCCAGGCTCTGCTGGCCACCTGGGTCTGTCCCAGCTCTGTCACTGACAAATGAGTAACCTGGGCAACTCACTTCCCTCATTAGGTCCCAGGAGAGGCAGTTGCCTAGAATGAGAAAACCTACCCCTACACCCCAGCTCCTTCCCAGCCAGGACTGTGTCCATCAGGGTTTGTCTCTGTATCCCCACATCCCTGGTGCAATGTGTGCTGGAAGAGAGGCTGGTGAGTGAACTCGATGGCCTTTGAGCGTCCTTCCAGCCCAGACTCTGACCTCTTCTTCCTTCCAGATCTGAGCTTTTCCCTCTCCAGTTGAACATGATATCTGGGGTCTAGGCGAGGAAGTGAAGATGCTCCCGCAGGCCGGCGATCTGGAGACAGAGCCCTTGAATTGAGGGAATCAGACCTCGGAGAGCAGATACCTGACTCCCAGGGACAGCTGAGTGTGGTGCCCAGGTGAGCACGGGGATCCACACAGCCCAGCGGTGAAGCTCGGGCCCTTGCACCGGCCGAGGCTCCAGCAAGGGGCGCCAGAGAGAAGGCCTAGGCCAGTCTGGTCATCCCAGGTGTCCAGTCTGGGTGGGCGGGTGCGCCCTAGGGGCGTGGACACCGCCAAGGCACGCCCCAGACACACTTAACCAGCTTGAGAGCCCGGGCCGGGAGGAAGGAGGGACAGAGCTCCGGCTACTGCTGACCCACTCGGACCCAGACCTAGACCCAACCCGGCTCTAGACGGCGCCCGCCATGCGGGGCCCGAGTGTGGCTCTGTGGCTCTTCCTGGCTCTGCGCACTGGTGAGGAGCAGGAGCGGGGGCGGGGCCCCGGAGCTCTCCACCGCCCCTGAGCAGGACCCGGGGCTGGGAAGTGTGTCCTGAACCCGCGTCTAGCGGACCAGGACGGTTCGGGGAACTAGCGCTGAGCCGGGCGGACTGGGAAGTCTGGAGAGCTTCGCGGAGGAAGCGGCATGGAGCTGGGCCTGGAGAAAGCGGACCTGCGGATGCGCGGCAGAGGCGGGGAGGAGAGAGCCGGGTGTCGGGAGGCCGTGGAGGGGGCGAACGCTCTTGATGGGCGCGGAAGCCAGAGGAGGTTTGGGGGGCCAGGGCGGCCCCTCGGAGAGGAGACAGGAGAAGAGTCCGGGGAGGGAGGGGGAGGGAGAGACCGCTCCAGGGCTCCCTGCAGGGCGCAGGGGTGGAGAAGGGGGCCCCCACGGGGCCCCGCACCGCCCCCTCCAAGGGAGTCAGGGCCGGGACTGTGGGACGGGG